AGGAAACATGCCAGCAGTTTGGGGAGTGGCGTCAGGCTGGCCATGCCCACCCAGTTGGCCACACCCACCCAGTCAGCCACGCCCAGTGAGTGATGTCAAGCCACCCAGTTAGCCACGCCACCCCCAGTCTCCCCCACTGAGGTCAACCGTAGCCCTCAGTGAAATTGAGTTTGATACCCCTGAGATAGAAGGAAAAGAAGGACAAAAGGAATTGGAGGCAAAGGAAATAGAAACTGGGATGGAGAAAGAGAAAACCGAAAGAGTGGAGGAGAGCTGAAGGCAGATGGTCTGAAGCTCTTCCAGCGTGATGACCCCATTGCTCCACCATATCACGGGTGAAGGATCAGCTGTCCATTCCTCTTATAGATCAAGAACCAAGCGCGAACCTTCTCTCCAGAAAAATTTGCTTTAGGAAAAATGAAAAGTTCGGCATTCGTGTCGCCATCAAAGAACGCTATGAGGCCTTGTGAATAGTCCAGAGAAACTCGGATCCTTTTCAGAGGATGGCACAATGTCAAATTTGTCCTGGGATAGGTGATCGCCTCATACCGTCCCTCATGTCGCTGAATTCCCCAGTAGCCCCCACGAGGATCAAAAAGAGCCACCCCGTTTCTCTTTGAAGATTCCCTAACAATTCCCACCCCCCACCACTCCCCTCCCTCCACCACCTCTACCTCCCAGCACATCTTCCCAGAATTCAAGCTTTGATGGCTTATGACTATAAAGTTGTATCTCAGAGGACTGGCGTTCACATGCTGTTTCGTGTCTTTCCATCTCACGCTTTTCAAATCAGGAGAGACGTAGAGCTGGGGATGACCTGTGTTTGGATCCAGAGTCAGATTTCCTGTGTGGAAGAAAGAAAAGTTGCTGGGGGAGAAGGAATTACCAACTTTCTCAGGCCACCTGGTTTATTTAATTAATAAGAAATATTGTAACTGGTGGCCAAGTTATGCTTATATCTTCTAAGAGTCCAAGAGGCTTGCTCACAAAACTGGTAGCT